ATTACAAAAAGATGTACAACATACCTGTTACAATTCTCACTTAGTAAATGTTGCACATATACTAGGGAATTCTGTTCTGAATCTTGAGAAATAATTTAAAAGAAAATTAAGATAGTAATACCTCTATTATGACACTAATATTCTGAAAATAGTATATTTCTTGGGCTAGAGATGGTACAGCAAAAATATTTATTTTATTCTTTGCTTTACTCAGTATATATTTCTTATATTTCTAGTATGTGCCAGCACTGTGAAAGATGCAGCAGATAACATAGGGTATATAGCAACAGAATTCCTTTCATTATGCAGAGAAATAAAGTGAGAAATAAGATACTAATCATATATATGACATATACATAACCATAGATCTTTGCACACACTATTCCTCAAGTTAGAAGCAATGAATACAGGGGACATAGGGAAACCTGTACAGACATAAGAAGACACATGCTACAGTCTACTAACAGTTAAAAAATGAAAGAGAACCAATAGAGCCTTAGACATTTACAATCTTGCAGAAAAGCTGATTTTGGCTTTTAGTTTGAAGGCAATAAAAAAAAAAAAAATCTATTGAAGTGTTAACCAGAGAACTGAGATGGTCATATATTCATTTCAAAGAAAATTAAATTTCAGATGATATTGTAGTTTTGTAGTGGAAACAAACATCAAAAGCTTGTAAAACAAAAAAAGGCTGATGTGTCAATCAACGACCCCTGGTCAGCTGCAGCTCAATTCGACCTGCAGCTAACACCTGTACTCTTCTTCCTCATTCACGGATCAGCCTGAACACACAGCTCTTACCTGGGAGAGGCTCTTTTGCTGGAATATTAAAAAGGGTGAAAGTACTCAGCAGATACCAACACTCAAAGCTTCTGGCCAAAAGTGACACAAGCCCTCTTTTACTCAAATTCTTTTGGCTCCTACAAATTTCGGGGCTCAAATTGATCAAGTAGTGAGAGAGTATGTTCATTCAAATGAGAAATATGTCAAGCTACATGACAGAGGGAGGCGTATGACGGTACAGATATATAACTCCTCATCTGAGAAGGACAAGAACAGTTAGGAACTTATGATAAAACAATCTACCACAGAGAATTTTCTAATTTACCCAACTTTAAATTCATTTTTCTAGCTCTAATAATAAAATTATCAGACAGCAAGGACATATCATTCTTAAAGTCACCTTGCTTGTTACTTAAATATGAAAAGACAGGTGGTAGATTTATCATGAGCACGGAGAGGGAGGATTCAAGGTTGACTACTTCAGGCCATAATTTGAAGGCATATGAAAACTTCATAAAATATGTACTCTCCATTACAAAAGGAAAACAAAATTAGAAACCATCTCACCTGGGAAATTTCAAAGCCTGTATTTGTGACTCATGTATTTCTATCAAATAATTTAATTTAATTTGCAAAATTTCATGATAGAATATTCGGGCTTATCACTAGTTATCTGTGCCCATCCACATCAGAGATATACATGGCAACATGTCACATAGGTAAGCACTAAAACTGAGCCAACCACTTCCTGATAAAGTAAATAGCTCATTAATGAACATAAAAAGATAATGGCTAGACACTTAAAATACGAATCGTACTTTATTAGAAAATGTATTATGTCATCAGATTGGATAACTGAAATCTGTGAACCAATGTTAGGGAGTACCATAGGCCAGCCTTTGGGAAGGGAAGAGAGATTGAAATGTGTGTGTCCAAAGTAGCGTGCCCGGCCAGTTACAGTTAAGGGAAGAAGCAAAGACCTCAAGGGAGAAGATATTTACAATCACTTGCTGGGCCTTAGCCACACGGTGATCTCACAGTGCACAGTGACACGTTAAGGTTCTAAATTGTGCACATTCTGCCCACTCTCTGGTCACCTTGTCATCAAAACAAGGCATACAACATTCCTGCGTGCTATGACCTGCACCCAGTGACAGCAGAAAAAGAAGCATTCCTTAAAGACCCTCCCTCCTTGGGCTCAGACTTGATTTAGATTCTTATTTCTTTAAGGCTCCTGAGGGACACTGACTACCTAAGAGGAATAAGAAAGGCATTTTTGCATATGGACATTCTTAGGGATTCCTAAGAGAAATGTCGATAAGTATATAATATCGATGTTATGTAAAGAAAACAATGGTGAACATCATAGTTTCCTGAGCACCAATAACTTTTTGTGCATAAAAATATATCCTAGTTAGTATTCAGTGCAGATGTCCTTGTAACAATGCCCGCCTTCTCACTTGGAAGTGTAACTGTCCTGAGGTCTGTACTTCTGCACGGCCTCTTGTCGTGACTAAATTCTTTCAAGGGGAAAAAGAACCCAGGACCAAGGAAAGGAGGGACCAGTTCCTTGCTGTAGCAGGATATGACTTCCAGGAAACACTAAAATAATAACTTCATGATGACAGAATCTCCATACCCAAAAACAATTGTCTCTCACCATAGGAAAATCTGCCTAGTGATCTAGGAAATTGTACTAGTCTGTCTAAAAACAAACATGTCCACTTCTTGTTTGATCATAGGCTCCTCAAGCACAAGAATTTCAATGTTTCTTTTTAAAGTTTCTTATATACAGCAATAAATCAACATTTGTTTCCATAAGTATTCTTTCCTTAAAATAGCTCCTGTGGTGTGTTAGCCCTCTATTACTGTGTAAAAATTTCCTACAAATTTACCCACTTACAATGATCCAAGTTCACTGTTTCACACTTTTGAGAATGAGATAGGAAAGTATAACTCCTGACCTGTTAGGCCTCAGATGTGCCACGTTTGTGGTCTCATACATCAAGGGATAAAGTTGTGAACCAAAGGAGGAAGTCAAGAGTTTTACTGAAAATAAGAGGAGGAAGAAGAGTTCTTGAATTTCCAAGAAAGCTTCGGATTGAGTGGCCAAAAGCCCTTTGTCAGTGGTAATTTATACAGATAGATTCAATGGTGTACAAAATGGGTACAATGTGGGTCAAACTGCCATCATTGGCTGTCGGTTAGGACTGCTCTCACTCCCACAGGCTGCCCTCTGCCCCTGGACAAAGGCCCCACATATCCTCATAGCAGTCTAGGGTATGACATTTAGCCTCTACAAGGACAGCAGGAAAGAAAATCTGCCTGTTGATGAACTCAAAGTCGACTGACTTGGGGCCTGTGCTAAATTTGCAGAATCCCTTGTAAGATAACGTAATCATTACATTTTGTCATAGCCCCAGACTCCAGAACACTCAAGGGGAAGAGGTGAAGTCCTCAGGCCACCTCAGAAGCCTACCTCACATATTTAGTTATATTTGTGTTTTCCCAACACTTTATGCTGTGTCAGCATTGTAAAACATGTAGAAATACAAATTCAAATTTATACAGTTAATCCCTGTGCAGTCTGCTCTATTATCATTTAGCATTAAAAAATAACACTTCACAATATAAATATATTGAGAAACCTTCTATAGTTAAAAAGTCACTCATGAAAATGTATACTTAAATCTAAAATCATTTTACTATAAATAGTAAACCAGAACAACCCAAAAGAAAAGTAAGATAGTTTAAATAACCATGTAAATCCCACAAATTCCTCTAATCCAGTCATTTATTTTTCACTTATTAGGAAGGAATATAACTTTTCCACCCTGTAATGATTCTACACCAATTAAATCTTTAATATCAATGTCAAAAGGCGTGAAACACACAAAACTCAGAATTCCTGGATACTCTGTGTTCTTGTCATTTGTGAATGAGGTTTTCAGTAAACAAGCAAAGAAATCAGTATGACAGGACAGAAAATATTAATACAGACTGGCCACCCTAATCTCATCCCTACCAGTGCAAACCCTGAAATGTGTATTTTAACCTGAATGCTCAACAAATGTCAATTCCTTTGTTTTAAATTGTAGGGTACTCTCATAATATTCAAAAGGTATGTGTGCATCTGAACCAACTTTTTTCTTTTGTTATGTTTTTCAATAACCTAAATATCCAGGGGTGAAAATAATAAATGTTAAATGATGAAGGAAATCATTACCTTTTAGTATAAGTAGGAAAGTTCTAAGGCTGATAAGAGAGAAAAACAGACACCATTAGAGTTGCCATTTATTATTGAAAATCATCTAATTCAGCATAGTAGAAAATACGGTATAAATATTTAATTGTTTATCAAAATTATTCAAGGACGAGATGGGTTTTTAGGTTCATTCTGCAGGCATTAAAAAGTGCTGAATTATGCAAGTCAATTACAATTCAAAAACTACACACTTTGAGATTCACAGTTTGAGTAAATTAATATTTGCTTAGTTATTTTTATCTGATACATTTTACTGTTTTTTAAACTTTGTTTACTTTTATATATTTACTATTACAAATTTGTAATTTACTATTACAAATATATGATTCAGATTTGAGAATGCAAAGGTCTAAATCACAAATCATTGTTTTGCCATAATAGTGAGATGTACCTGAATTCCCCAAAAAGAAAAATCAAACTATAACTTGAAATAGAAGACCATTCTATCTCCCAACAAAACAAGAAAAGTGAATAGCAAAATATAATCACTGCAATGCTTTCTTTAATGCTGAGAATTCATAAAATGAATTTATCTCATTTTACAAGAAACGTTCACAGTGTAAGCACAGTATAATGAAAGGATCCAGCTCTGACGCTTTGAGGATTGTATCCTAGAAAGATTTTCCAGTATCCCTTCACTCATCAATAAAAGGAACACATAAATAAAGATTAAGAATATATTTCTATCAACTCTCCCAATAAATCAGTTAAACATCATTCTACCACTTAAGATAAGAACAAAACTTAAGGCTTTGTACTTAAAAGCCAAATCTGTTTCTTCCAACTTTGTTTTACCTTACAGATTCACTTCAGGAAATCTGATATTTTTGGAGCTCATTTCAAGGAATTGTGGTACATGTGGAGACTGGAATGATCACCACAATGATCATGTTCCAGAATAGTTCCAAAATTCCAAAAAAGCTCCCCAAGCTTACCCTTTGTAATCCCAGCATGCTCCCACCCCTAGCAAGCACTGATTGTCGCTGCACTTTTGTCTTTTCCAGACTGTCACAGAAATTAAATTATACAGTAGGTGACTTTCATTGCTGAATGTTACATGTAAGTACAAATAAGAGTCATCAAAAAATTCTTAATCCTGTAGAGCTCATTAAAGTAACTTTGTGGGAACAGAGCTTTGACATCTTCCCAGGGGCTTGGAACATAAGACAAACTATTTGTATAATATATGAAGTCAGAATGAAAGGACAGGATAGGTACATTCTGTTAGCAGCCTAGGGTAGAAAAATGTAAAGCGGTCCCTAAATACATCTCTCAGAAGTTATTTTTCTTGTTCACTCTTAGACATGTCCTACAACTTTGGGATTTATTTTCAACTGGCTATAGTCTTTCCCCCCTTTGGAATATGGGGCTACATTACATCCACCCAAAGAGGTCAGTTAATTTGAGAAAACGTTATAGTCTTTCCCCCCTTTGGAATATGGGGCTACATTACATCCACCCAAAGAGGTCAATTAATTTGAGAAAACGCTGTGAGGGCATTGGGCAAAATCTCCTTCCATTTATTAAGGCCCCAGAGAGCTGCATGCGTTAGATGCAAATCCATTTTTCACTTAGAATCCTTAGATAACAAAAAGGCATTATTTACATAGGACATTAAATTAGTGTTCATTGTGTAATTTCTGTAACAAAGAGAGATGAGCTTTTCCCTTTATCCTTCCTTTGTAAATTTATTTCTCTTGTCCAGTTTTTAGAGAAAAGAAAATCAGACAGAAGACAAAACGTCTTTAAAATTGTTTTTGATTAATCTTTATAAATGAATTGATGATCATAAGCATAATAATTAGTAATAAAGAACAACTCCATAAATACTAGTTTATGATGGGAAATGCATGACTTCGTATCAATTAAAAATTTTCTTGTTACATAGGCCTTTCAAATAACAAACTGATCGAGTAAAACACACGAAGTAAAATGACTGCAAACTGTTAGTGTTGCCATTATTTGGTGAGAGCTAAGGAAAGTGTATTCACATTGGAATTTATGGGACTAGTTGTTGGATGACGTGAATTCTCACTTTGGAGCTCTAACAATGTTTAAAAGATGACCAAAATGTTTGACAGAAAGAAGGATCCTCATCCACCATAGATTCCATGTAAAAACTGAGGGATTAAGGAAGAGAAACACATTTTTTTTTCTTAGTATCTGTCAACTTATATTTCCTAATATAATAATACAGAATTACAACATTATCATTCATCCTCATAGTGTGTATAGCTGAGATTATACTGATATTTCTGCACAAGGTACGATGTTACTAACAATGAAATAATGAATGATAAGATAACGAACTTTTTTCCTGAAATACTGTCTTTTGATTACCACAGATTAGAGAACTTTGCCACAGAAACAGAGAAGGCTACAACCTAGCCTACAATCTGCAAGGCCTTGGGAATAGCTGCAAATAAACCTAAAATACTTTTAATTTGCTCTTATATGACACAAACTCATGCTACACCTGATTCATTTTTCTGCGGCAGGATACTTAGACAGTGCATGCATTTTTCCTGCTGGAGGTTTTATTCCATAAACTGCTGAAGAAGCCATTGGCCATGATGAACAACGGTAAACACTAATGAGCCTCAACTCTGCGCCAGATATTTTCCTAGTGAGATTTGAAAGCAGAGTCACTCAAACGCAAACACACCTGGTGGGATTTCACTTCGAATCTCTGTGAAGAAGGCGTGTACTCTTCCACTTGAGCATTCGGTCATAGAAAATGGCACCTGCCCACTCAGCCAATGCTCTTGCACCCAAAGATGTGAAGTCCAACCCTCAGCACTGCAACTGGAAAAAGATGAGGGGTGGGAAACTGGGTGGGCACCCCAGGACCTGCTCTGGCTCACAGCCTTGGATCAGGAAGGTAATATAGGAGTGAGGGGGAGAGATAACGATAAATGCCTTAATTGGATCTGATGCTGAGGGAAAAAAGACCAATCCTATGCAAAAATATGAAAATCATGTATCTTTAGTGTCTGCCTCTCCACTTTGCATTCTCTTTGGCTCCATGGAAACAGTAGTTCCTGGTCACTTACCTCATGTTATGGGTGTTTCTTTATCCACCCACTAAGAAAATTTGTTCTTGAGAAGAGAATATAGCCTTGTTCAATTTAAGTGCAAAGCTTCACATTCTGCTCTATTTGTCCAACACTTGAGAACACCAAGTGATGAGAACCGATGCAGCACATGGACAGGGTGGCTTATGCTGCTGCCGCAGCTCCGCCCTTCCCTCTCCTTAAGGAACAGAAGTGTCTCACCTGACTGTGCAGCATGTTCTTCTGTGAGTGATTTGGAACCATGAGAAAATGAAATAAGCCAGAGTCGACTAAGGAAAACAGGAGACAAAGACATCATAGATGTTTGATTTCTTCTGAGGTAATTTCAGTTGTATCCCTGATTTATTGGGGGGGTGTAGCACTGTTAAATTGATTTTGCACCTAGTCATTATAAACACTCAAAAGCAAATCACAAATGACAACAAAGAGAGGATTGCAGATCTGAGTCTTTCCCCAGCCCATCATTTGACCTCTCAAAACTTAATTCCTTCCATACTGGAACTCCACACCCTCCTCTAGGGACAGATTAACCTACTGGATGCTGCTGATCCTCCACAATGTTCTCTGGACAGCAGGACAGTTCACCAGGCCTAGATTACTCAAACCTGAACGTTCCAAAGGAAAGGTTGTCTCTAAATTAACCGTGCTCCAGCTCCCGCGAAATTATCTCTAAACACCCCCCCGCCAAAGAGTCCATTTGTTAGAAGAGTGAAGCAATTGCAGATAAAAGATAAATACCCATGGCAGAGGGGTACTCAAGGCTTTTACAGTTAAACCTATGCCCGCTTCCCAATGCTCTGTGCTCCTCACCCAACTATGAATGAGCCATTAGTTACACAAGATTATTTACTGTAGTAAAATCTCATGCAGCCCTACATCTTTGTCTCTGTGCATGCTGCTTCCTACATATAGAAAACCCCCCTGACTTATTTATGATTTAACACTTTCAATTTCAGTGTAGCCTTTTCAGTGCTCCCTGTCCAAAGCAACAATCAGAATCAATTGTTCCCCTTGTAATAATATACGAACTCACTTTGTACTTTTAGTGTAATATCGCAGTGCTAGAGCTGGTTGTCTACACCTGCATCTGTCAGCAAATCAGAGAACACACACACACACATGCACACACACACACACATGCACGTGTGTGTTAGTCATTTTTCCACTCTCTGTCTGTAGTGGCACCTCAAGCACCTGAGTTTGGAATCCCCTCCAAACTCACTCACCTCCATTCCAAGCCCAGCCATTTATGATCAAAGGGAAAAGCGTGATAGCTGTGGAAAAAAAACTATGTTACACAAAACGTCTTCCACCATACTGTAAGCATAAGTGTAACTCATATGAAAATTTTGAAATCACTCCTAACACTTGTGCCTTGACCATTAAAAAAAACAGTAAATACTGGAAGTGTTTTTGAAACAAAAAGCGATTTGGTGTATCTTCAAACATTAGTTATTGACCTAAACTAAACTGTCCTGTGAGTTAGAAAACAAGTTGGAGAAACAAGACTTTAAAACAACAAATATTACCACAAGGGAATAGGATAAGATTATAAGTATAGAAGTAGATTTCATCTGTAGCCATTATTTACAATATAGTCCTTTTATAGTATACATTTATATAATGCCCCAGTATAATCTTTATATTATATATAAGTAAATCACAGAAATTCTTAAGTATTACTCAACAGTAAACTGGTTATAAAACACCATTATGAAGGAATTATGGGGTAACATTTTAAAATAGCATTTTCATAATCAATATATCTGGTTCTGTAGCAATATTTATTTCTGTCTTTTCCTAGAACTATGACTACGGGTTCACAATCTGATTTGTGAGCTGAGCTTCAGCTGTAGAGTTTATGTTTCTTATAAATGTATTAGAGTAATGAAAATACCTTCCATTTAAAGCCTTAGATTTAGACTACACTGTCGGCTAGAAAATAGTAAACTTTAAATTTTTAAGTGTGCTCATTTTATGTGGAAATTAGTTAGAAAAAGTAAATGTAAAAGTAGGGATAATATATTTTCTGACACATTTCAGACTTCAACCAAAGTTCAAAAATGTGGCGATAGTGTTACAGAAAAATTATTTCTGCCTACCAAGAGATAATGAATAAAGCTGTCTAAAATAACCTCACTAGATGATGTATATTATATAGTTCTAGATTCTCGTATCTAAATATTTAGTATAAAGCAAAAAAATCACATCAGAATTTTAAATGTAATGATTTAAATCATCTATTTTTGTCAGTACTTTCATATTTTTTTCCAAAAGCTGAAATTTAGCCTATGACATAACAAGGGACAATATTTTCTGGTAAAGTTGCACTTGAGATTTTATTTTATTTTTATTTTAAGCTTCTATTTGTAGTACTGGGACATATTTATGCAACATATTTGTTCATATTTTTAAGTTCATATTGCTAAAAATAAAATATTTAAGCAGCAATATAACATTTCAGATCTTCAATGTGTGTGACTACTTTCCTTGCTAAATCTTGTACTACTGAACTGTACTTTTACAAGATAATTTAGTTCTATTGCCCTTCTTGGCTTCCTAAATTGTCTAAGTGCAATGTCTTCCCCTTAGTGATATTCTCTAGTAGTCCCTGCACCACACTTCATATATACTCTAATGGGAATCAGCACTGGAGAATGACTTAGAAAGACAGACATTTGTGTTTTTAAAAAATCAGCCATTTAGTAGATCAACCATTTATGTGACCTTGACAAGTTGCTCAAGTCTATTTATGCCTCCTCTTCATGTATGATTTGGTGATAAATCTCATAGTATTCAACTCTTGGGACAATCACAAGTCAGCAATTAGTTAATCTATGAAAACTGCTAGACAAATGATAAGTTTTCAGTAATTGTTAATTGTCCTTAGTCTCAGCTTTGTTAGTAATAATATGGGATATGATAAGACCAATCGTTTACCCTTCATCAATGAACATTGTAGGATTTTCCCTAATTACTATGGTTCGTATAAGTACAAAATTGAAACTTTTGTTAATTTATATATTACCTTACAATTATAAGTGATTAATCTTAGAAAAAAGGAGCAAATAGAGTTAATAGGCTGAAAGAACATACACTGGTAAGTGGGAAATCTAAGAGAAAAATATAAACAAAGAAGAAAAATAAGTAACCCAATGTGCTGGCTATTCCTGAGCTAGTAATTCTATATACAAAGAACAGAATGTGTGACACCTACAGAACAAAACCAGCATTGTTAATAAAACAGGATATTTGAAAAATATTATAAATTTAAGGCACAATAATTGTTTTAGAAAATAAAACATCCTAGACACTCAATAAATGGTAGGTGCTATAAATACATACATCTTCAGAACATTCTTTCAATGTGTGTATTTTTATCTGCAATGTACTAAGTACAAACGTACAGAATACTAAATAAATTACTCAATATCTATAGCACACTCAAAACAATGCAAGAGCTGGGATTCAAACCCACTCCTGCTGATAAAGGATTGTTCCCTCTAAGATAAATAACTACCCATAGGTTCCATAAAGTCATATCATGTAAGTACGCTCAAAGCAATGGCCGAAACCAGACTGAAGCATCAGTGTATCTTGCCAAACTTTTTAGACAGATTAAGTTTCTTCTCTACCAAAGAACTGGCGCATGTAGTTCATGTGACGAGACAAGTATGTGATAATGGTTGCATCAATATCTTAAAGAAAGAGCTTGAATAATTAAAGGGCATTAGAAAAATATTGTAATGCAAGAGTGAGAAGAATTTTGATATAATCTTCTATAGGGTGATATGCAGTCAATTCTATTATGCTTTGTAATTTGCTATGTTATATAGGCACAATTGCATCAGAAATTTTGAGAACCCTTTCCCCACATGGAACTTTAACCTCTCATACTGTTTCAGAAACTAATGTTACACCTCCCTTCCACTACTAGTGAAAGGAAATTGAATCTGTTCTGCTCATACAACAGTCTGCTTCTTGTCACTCCTGCATGCATGAAGGTAGGCTAAATGCCATGCTCTGCAAGTGTCAGAATTCAAGCCTGCCACAGGAAAATTTTAGTTTTCATTCAAAAGAGAATACAGAGGGTTTCCCTGCTAGATAGTCGGCTCTCCTTCAAGCTATGACTCAAGGACCTAGTCTTCCTTAATATTGTGAGTGAGATCCACCATGTTCATCTGAGACTTTGGAATCTTCTACAGTAAGGGAAAAAAAGAAACAATCATACATGAGAGACTTTACAGGCCTGACCTGAAAGTCTGCAGATATAGTGTTCCTACATTACAGACCTTGTACATGGTATGCTTTACAACATACATACAGCAAGATGCTTAAGATGGTCCTTCACTTATGGGGTTATATCGTATTAAATCCATCATAAATGGAAATATCTTCAGTCCAAAATGCAATTAATATGTCTCACCAAAGGAACTGGGTGGTCTATCAACACGGCGCATTGCACAGTATACGTTGCTTACCCTTGAGATCGCACAGCTGACTGATAGCAGTATTTCACTGCTACTGCCCAGCATAAGACAGGAGCCTACACCAGAAACCTGAAATATCTCCCATTGAACCAGCCTTGCATTCCTTTGGGTAGAACTCCATCAGGTGATTAACTGATCTACAAGAGAGAATTAGAAAGTCACCCACCTCTGTGCACAGAACTAGATCTGTTGACAAACCAGCCCATCACAGACATCTTGTTCCAGATTTCCATGCAGCTGAAGGGTCCTGGGACCTTCCAAATGCAGCCTTCCTATGACAGGAGAAACACTCAAGGGTAAAGGGCAATTGGGATGTGGGAAAAGAGAAGGGAAAGAAAAGAAATATTTTATGTATGTATGTATATACAGGATAGTTAACATAGTTGTTCTACTGTCTTCTATTTCTTTGCTGAAAGAAACTGTCAATGAGTCCTTGATTGATCAATATTGCATGTCTCTATCTGTATTCATGAGAAACCACTTTGAAGATATCAATATGTGATACAACAAGCATTGTTAATTTCCTACCACTTGTGTAACTCTGTATTGTCTGCACTGTTCTTTTGCT